CACACACACACACACACACACACACACACACACAATCACTCATTCTTTGCTTGACAAACATATTTTACTCCTATTCTTACTTAGGAATTTTTTGCTCACTCTTATTATATTTAATGATTTTCCTGAATCTAGAAATCATTTCTGATCGTGCAGGGATCAAACAAACGTCCATCACACAGGTAGGAAGTAACTTGCATCTGTTTAACATATGTAAATGAAGGTGTGTCAGGAGAGGTGTCTCAGGTGTGCTCAGTTCCATGTTAAATGGGAAGTCCCAAAGAAATGTGAGTGGATTTTTTGTGAGTTCACAGTTTTCTGGATTTTACCGTATGCCACGTTTCAATTAGAAATCCACGCAAGTCTTTGTACAGTACATGAGGCCCCTGGTCTGTTCTTAAGTGGGGGGATATCAYACTAGTTTAAAATTGTCTCCAAACAATAGTATCATTTATGGCAATAATTGTTGAGACAATTTATTATCCAGCAAAATTTGTTATTGTGACTCTTGGTGGAAAACTAGGAGTTAAAGCTGAAATGAGACCAACCTTTCTTGCAGGTTGGTACAAGTTTCAAGTCCCCTCCACTTAAACAGGACACTGCCATTGGCACTAAAGTCTCATGGTCAGAACTGAAGGTCCCACTTCTCTAGTGCACAGATTTTGGTTCCAAAAATACAAAATGGCAGCTCCCATAAACCCGGAACTTCCGGTTTCAATTCCCATCAACAAGACAAGGCGGGAACGTTTGGTCTAATCATGTATACACTCTTTGACCCTCACAGACAAAAATATCAAAAATTGCCCACCTTTCATCTTTTGGCTGTGGGAAATGTATAACGTCAAATGTCAACTGAAGTAAAACAAAATCACAAACTTAATTTTACAGCCTATCCTAAAAGGCTGAAATGAAATCATCAGACCAGAGTGTCATTTCAACGTGAGACTGAAACACTATGGTACTTGCCAAAACTATATTGGGTCTAATGTGCTGTATTGTGTCCTACAGCTCAAATCACCTTCTTCTGTGTAGCCACAACATTCCAGCATTAGACAAATCCAGCAGTTGTGTAATAGTACTTAATTAGTGTTTAGAGACAACTGTGTAGCACTTTCATTRCTGAGAGCTGGGAAGGATAGAAATTGGTTATTGACATGAAAAGGTCTCCCACAAAGAGATGTTACTGTRGATGCAACAGTTGCTTGGCTATTTATCAGAAATGAATCCTTTTCAGCTTGAACAGTTAAGATGAATGACCAGCAGATCAGAAGCTGAGAAGCCTGAAACTGTAGGCAAAGTTTTTATTTATTTTTTTGTTTTGTTTTTTAGAAACACATGACTGTTGTCTACAGTTGACCGATCACTCTCCTACAGTCTTACTGGGGAGACCTTCAAGAGTATAAAAAAATGTAAAATGGTTGAAAGATTTTTGGTTCCTGCCAAAAACAGCTGCTTGTATTTTGACATGGAAAGATGTGTGAAATGTGTGGATCCCTACAACAAAATGTATACTCTTTGTTTCCCTGAGGAGTTCTATCCTGAAAAACAATGTTCAAAGTTTGGTCTAACTTTATCTTGATTTCTAGTTTGAAAACACCTTTTTTGGAACATCAAAAGCATATCTACAGTGTTTATTTTAAAACTAAAGTTTAAATGTAGGGCTTAACGATCAGTCTGCACTCCACTGAAACGTGCGGCCATGTGTTAAACCCATTTTGTAGATGAGTTAATGATCCATAAAAACTTGTTGACGCAGGGTAGCAGAAATGCCCCCACACTCACTGTTAACCAAGTTCAGAAGCACAAATATGCTCTAAAACGCTCCAAGTAATTTAATGCCTGTACACAGTTCTGCTATTCAGATGGAGGGTCCATTAACTTCAAGCATGCTTCAGTTAGATATATTAACTGCAGTAGTGGTGGCAGAAGTACAAGATCTATGGTAAATATGGTCATTCACCACAACTGGARCTGAATAAAACAGTGGCACCAAAGAGCAATTTACAATTTATGAGACRCAGAGCGACTAATTTATAGACCAATTAATTAGGTTGATTTTTGAATGACTAGCATCAACCAGGTTGGCGTAAAAGACTGTGGGTAGCACACCGATATCACATCTATGCTAGGTGAGTTTTCACAACCACAATCATAGCCTGGGTGAGCCCACAGTGAAAAAATTGCACTTCATACACTCTACCACCAAGCTGTATCAGAGTGAGTGGCTACAAAAGTATGGATAATGCTTCTCACACTCCACCCAGGACCATGGTCATAAACCCCACAACCAGGGGTTTTGTGCATGTTCAAAACCACTGCAGACCTGCTACCTGCTAAGTATAAGCCACTGGGTTCTTAATGCACATCTAAAGACCTTGCCAAGACCCTACAAAGACCATCTATGTTATAGTGAAGCTGTGATTCAGTGTAAAGAGAACTTAAGGGTGAATATTCTGAATTTTAAGAGGTAAAGTCACAAAAAAGGTTTTGTTTTTGTCATTTTTCTTTTTTAAACCTAAAAAGATTGTTATGAAAATAAATCTATATTGTATTATATTTATGAGCCAAAAATCAAAGCAAAATAATAATAATAATAATAATAATAATAATAATAATAATAATAATAATAATAATAAATAAGCAATAAAATAATTTCTAAAAATTGACCTCACAGCAACACATTTTAAACATTAACTTGAAAAGTCAACAAGCATTCAAGCCCAGCAAATTTAAATCTTTTATCAGATGTGGAGAAAAAGTCTGTTTAAACAAAAAGAATGTTAAAAATGTTTTACAACATTAAGCACTTTTCACAATATAAAGACTATTGAAAGCAAGACAAACCATCATCGCATTGAACTAGAGGGAAAGTGTCTTATCAAGAAATGCCATAAAATTCATGAACTCAAATCAAACAATGAACAAAGGCAGGTCTTGAGTGGAGTTCATGGCATCCAACACATGGAACTAACAATGCTCTCTCACCCAGCAGAGATGCTGCTCAAATAGACGACCACAGAGAACAAAGACTTCAATTATGTGGCGCTCTAACAGGAGAGCTAAAAACAGGACCATGGGCAGGGAAAACCTTGGAGCGCTGCAGGAATTCTGAGCATCCAAGCACCATCAGCGCACAACAAGCTGTCACTCCTAAATTGTACCGCCACCACCGCTGACCTTTTCTCCAGACTCCATGAAACAAGGCAGTGTTCAAGTAGCTGGAACAGAGGGCTCTTATGCCTACTAGCACCCAAACTGGTCGGGAACAGAACGGCAGTTGTGCATTTGAATGTAGCAGGATGGAAGMTTTGTATATTTTCTATTATAACTAACAAATGTGTATAAATACATACAATGCTGGGTAACAAATAACATTCAGATTTGTTTCACCCTGTTGCAATTAATATATTTCTGTTTATCAGAATTCTGACCGTGTATTTAAGAATTTGCCTTAAAAATATTTCATAGAKTTTTCTCTAAAATGGCTCCCTTCCTTAATTTTCTGCATTTTGTCAGGGGAATTCAATTTCTTAGGATGAAGCCCAGTCTGAAAGAAAGAAAGACGTATTTATAGCCCAACACAAGCCATGCTCCCATCCACTTGTAATGCAAATTTTTGAGTGAACATTTAAAACATTGCAAAAAGAAAAGCAAATTAAGTATGTTTCCATCTTCTGGTTTGGAGTGAATCAATCAGGCTATGCAAAGCATAAATTTTGTCAGATGTTGGCGTTACGTGTGGCTGTAATGTACAGGAAGTAGAGGTTGTAAACTAGCAGGGACCAAACATCTCGGGACAATGGAGAAAGGTTTTCAGGAACGTTTTGCCATCGGGCAAGTTCTAATTGTTCTGTCGTATCAACTAGTACTGGTGATTAGGGGTGTAAGAAAATATCGATACATTGAAATATCGCGATATTTCATTTCCTGATACTGCATCGATATTCT